GTCTCAGCCTCCCAAAGTGCTGGGATTACAGGCTTGAGCCACCGCGCCCGGCCGGTCCCTGAAATTCTTAATGATTTTATCTTTGACCTTGTGTCTTGTTTTTTTTGTTTTTTTGTTTTTTTTTTTTTGAGGCGGAGTCTCGCTCTCTTGCCCAGGCTGGAGTGCAGTGGCCGGATCTCAGCTCACTGCAAGCTCCGCCTCCTGGGTACACGCCATTCTCCTACCTCAGCCTCCCGAGTAGCTGGGACTACAGGCGCCCGCCACCTCGCCCGGCTAGTTTTTTGTCTTTTTTAGTAGAGACGGGTTTCACTGTGTTAGCCAGGATGGTCTCCATCTCCTGACCTCGTGATCCGCCTGTCTCGGCCTCCCAAAGTGCTGGGATTACAGGCTTGAGCCACCGCGCCCAGTCTGACCTTGTGTCTTGTAAGTGGAGCCTGATAGGACAGTGGGACGTGCAGGGAGCAGGAGACACATACAGTGAGTGTGCTCCGTTCCTCACTTACCATACCTGTACAGAGTCTGCAATGCCTGTGAGCACACAGATCTGGGGGACCCACAATGCATGGGAGTTCAACAGGACTCAAAGCGAGTACAAGGTGAGTGCACACCTATGACTGACCCAAGAGGCCAAGCTTTCAGTTCAAACTAGAATGTGCTTCAAGTGCACAAAGAAGACAGAAGTGTTCTAAGAAACACGAATGATCAAGGAATTCTGCTGCATCCTTTCTTGCTTTTGTGTTATCCACACACTTATGCTGCAAATAGCGATACAGAAAGGAAGGGGAAGATAGGGTAACCAATCCATCCTTTTCCTTTCCATCCTTCCTTATTAACTGGCAAGCCAACAGTGCTGGCAGAATGTGCACATATTAAGAATTGAAAGCCGGGCGCGGTGGCTCATGCCTGTAATCTCAGAACTTTGGGAGGCCGAGGCAGGTGGATCACGAGGTCAGGAGTTCAAGACCAGCCTGGCCAAGATGGTGAAACCCCATCTCAACTAAAACTACAAAAATTAGTTGGGCGTGGTGGCAGGTACCTGTGATCCTAGCTACACGGAAGGCTGAGGTTGCAGTGAGCCGAGATTGCGCCACTGCACTCCAGTCTGGGTGACAGAGTGAGACTCCATCTCAAAAAAAAAAAAAAAAGAATTGAAGGCCGGGCGCAGTGGCACACGCCTGTAATCCCAGCTCTTTGGAAGGCAGAGGCTGGTAGATCACTTGAGGTCAGGAATTGGAGACCAGCCTGGACAACATGGTGAAACCCCATCTCTATTAAAAGTACAAAAATTAACAGGGTGTGGTAGTGGGGACCTGTAATCCCAGCTACTCAGGAGGCTGAGGCAGGAGAATCGTTTGAACCTGGGAGGCGGAGGTTGCGGTGAGCCAAGATCACGCCATTGCACTCCAGCCTGGGCAACAACAGTGAAACTCCATCTGAAAAAAAAAAGAAAAACAACGAACTGAAGGCCAGGTGTGGTGACTCACGCCTGTAATCCCAGCACTTTGGGAGGCGGTGACGGGAGAAGTGCTTGAGCCCAGGAGTTTGAGACCAGACTGGGCAACATGGTAAGACCCCATCTCTACTAAAAATGCAAAAATTAACCAGGCCTGGTGGCACGCACCTGTGGTCCTAGCTACTTGGGAGGCTTAGGTGGGAGGATCACTTGAGCCCAGGAGGTCAAGGCTGCAGTAAGCCATGTTTGCACCACTTCACTCCACTCTGAGTGACAGAGGAGACCCTGTCCTGGTAAGAACTAAATATATATATCCATGTATAAGCTAAGAAATATTAATTATGTAGTTTCTGTGATTCTACAGGAGTTAAATGTTCTTATATTTGTATTTAAAACAAGCATTGCACAGTATTAAGCAAATGGTAAAATTCCTGCTAATAATTTAAATGCTTCTTACTTAGAATTACATTCAATAGCAAATTAAAAACATAACAGGTCAAAACAGATCGTACAAGAAAAAAAGCTTCATATTTTAGTATTTTTAATGACTATTTTTTCCCAAATATTTTTTTTTTTTTTT